CATTTCTCCTTTTACCATAAGTGAAATGGATGTTTTGACTCAAATACATGTAGTGTTGCATGGTTTGACTTCTCTCATACATTATATCTCTCCTCTCCACTTCTGCCTGTGCCTGAATATTTCTGATTTTGCTTCTTATTTGTCTCATTGTGAATTCACATTCAATGTCAACTTGTGGTTTTGATGTGGCACGTTTGGCCAAGTCATCCGCCACCTCGTTGAGCACTATTCCAACATGAGATGGAATCCACATGAATTTCACACTATGACCTTTCAGCTGTATCTCAGTTATTCTTTTCTTACAATCCTCAACTATGGACATGAAGACTGGGTTTCGACTGTTTAAGGACTCAAGTGCTCCTCGGCTATTGACAAATACAAAAACGTTTCACACTATGACCTTTCAGCTGTATCTCAGTTATTCTTTTCTTACAATCCTCAACTATGGACATGAAGACTGGGTTTCGACTGTTTAAGGACTCAAGTGCTCCTCGGCTATTGACAAATACAAAAACGTTTTTGTCGTCATGACGTACTTCCTCCAAACACACCAGAATGGCCTGCAGTTCAGCTTGTGTGGATGATATATAATTACTAAGCCGGAGTTCAATTATCCTGTCCACAGTCCTAAACTCCGTATATTCTCTTATTAGGACACCACACCCTGCCCTGCCATCCTCTGCCACCGACCCGTCGCAATATACAGGGGTACCTCAGTTTAAGAGTTTAATTCGTTCCTGGAGATGGCTCGTATTCCGAAGCTAATTTCCCCATAAGAAATAATGGGAAATGAATTAATCCGTTCCTGACTACCCCAAAAAACCCACATCAAACTAAATTTTTATACCTAATTCATCTAAATAAACCTACAAAACTATGTTCAAGTTATTACTTACCCTTGCTGAGGACTGCTGTTGGTGTATGGAAGATGTGAGGAGGAGAGGTGTTACTGTTTGGAAGGGGAGTCTCCTTCCATTATAACATCAGGCAGTGAGGACTTCACTGGTATGCACACTCTGGCACATTTTGCCTGCATACCACTAGGACTTGCTTGTTTTACTAAGAATCTGTCTAAAGACACTTGTTTTTCCCTACATTTTAACACTTCTCTGTAGTAAGACATCACATTGTCATTTAAAAGGTCAATGCAACGGCCTGCTACAGCTTTATCTGGGTGAGTTTTTTTCAACAAAACTTCGCAATTCTTCCCATACTTCACACATTTTCTTAATCAACAAGGGACATTCTCTACTGCCTCTACTCACAGCTATTTTCTTAGGTTGAACCTTACCAATGGCTTTCTTGAGACCCATGGCGAGTTATATAATGACAACTTTTATGCTCAAATGGCCAAAAAAACGACAAAAAACTGTAAATCCTTGAGAAGAATTCAGGTAGAATAGTCACTGGGCGCGAGACACTGGTAAACTGAGGCGCGATCGCCGTGCCACCATGCGCTAGTCGGCCTGTACACGTATCAACAAACTCGTGTTCCGAGGTAACCCTCGCCTTCCGAGACACATTTTCCGAGGAAATCCTGCTCGTATTCCGAAAAACTCACATACAGGGACACTCGCGTTCCGAGGTACCACTGTACAGGCATACCTCAGTTTATGAGTTTAATTGGTTCCTGGAGACGCCTCGTATTCCGAAAACTCGCATTCCGAAGCTAATTTCCCCATAAGAAATAAGGAAAATGAATTAATCCATTCCTGACTACCCCAAAAACCCCACATCAAACTAAATTTTTATACCTAATTCATCTAAATAAACCTACAAAACTATGTTCAAGTTATTACTTACCTTGCTGTTGAATGCTGTAGGCGTAAGGAAGATGGTGAGGAGGTGGGAGGAAGAGAGGAGTTACTGTTTGGAAGGGGAGTCCCCTTCCATTATCACATCAGGCAGTGAGGACTTCACTGGTATGCACACACTGGCACATTTTGCCTGCATACCACTAGGACTTGCTTGTTTTACTAAGAATTTGTCTAATGACACTTGTTTTTCCCTACATTTTAACACTTGTCTGTAGTAAGACATCACATTATCATTTAAAAGGTCAATGCAACGGCCTGCTACAGCTTTATCTGGGTGAGTTTTTTCAACAAAACTTTGCCGTTCTTCCCATACTTCACACATTTTCTTAATCAAGAAGGGACATCCTCTGCTGCCTCTACTCACAGCTATTTTCTTAGGTTGAACCTTACCAATGGCTTTCTTGAGACCCATGGCAAGATATATAATGACAACTTTTATGCTCAAATGGCCAAAAAATCGATAAAAAACTGTAAATCCTTGTGAAGAATTCAGGTGGGATAGTCACTGGACACGAGACACTGGTAAACTGAGGCGCGATCGCCATGCCACCACGCGCCAGTCGGCCTGTACACGTATCAACAAACTCGCCTTCCGAGACATATTTTTGGAGTAAATCCTGCTCGTCTTCCGAAAAACTCGCATACAGGGACACTCGCATTCCGAGGTACCACTGTACATGTAAACTGTTGCCTCTTGGTAACCGAGATATCATGCTTCCATACAAACACCATAATTGTCCCGGTTCATGATGAATCTTTTTCACATTGAGGGGTACAATTTCGACGTCTATTTTCTGTACTTTCCAGGGAGCAGACCTATTACACTGTCGAGAGGGTTTACAGCAGTCAAGTACATCGTATTCCCTGAGGTCATGAGCTAATCCCCTCGTGTAGTGTGTCTCCCTCAGTTTCCTGGAAGTGTGTACGTCACTCAAGCAGGTCTGAACGCTCTCAAACAGCTTATCCCCTCCTTTTCTCCACATGAAACGAATAGGTACTCTAGTGTTAATGTCACGGACTCTATCATACATACTCTGTAAATTCAATTCCATTCTCATTATTTCAATCATTGCATTTCTTTGACATCCAAGAATAATCCTCATAGCCTCGTTCTGTATCAGCTCTATTTTTTTAATTCTGCCTTGGCCTGTGTAAGACAAAACGGGTGCTGCGTAGTCTATCAGGGACCGAACAGTGCTTATGTATAGGTAGTGCTATAGGTATAGGTACCCCAACATCTGCAAGATAGGTACCCCAACACCTTTACCAGAAAAAGCCAGTGCTTTTAGAGGATGCAGACGGGCTTTACATAAGGTGCTGATATGATTTATTTCAGCATTTTTACTCTCACATGTGTATCCAACATACATGCCCAGATACTTGTACTTCTGAACACGGCTCAGTTCCACACCACTTAAAGTAAGTGTTATATTTCTTCGTTTCCTATACTCATATTTGGTTTTATCTGCATTTATAACTAAGCCTAACTTGTGACAGGTTGTACCAAGTATGTTAAGAGCAGTTTGAATTTTGTTCCCAGAGGTGCCTTGTATAAGAATGTCATCAGCATATATGATCATCGTGACCCCTGGAGGATACATCTCTGATGCTAATCTGTTCATTAATACATTGAATAAGGTGGGACTTAAAACTCCCCCTTGTGGGATACCTAACTGAAACATCCATTCCTCAGACATGTATCCCTGGTAATACACCTGACCTTTTCTGCCTTGTAGATAATCCCTTATCCAATGTAGCAATCTCCCTGTTATTCCCAGATTGGCTAATTCGTATAAGATTACTTTCCCATTGGCTTTATCAAATGCTCCTTGTAGATCAACAAAAACTCTACAATTGTCATCATACATCATCATACAATTGTCAATTGTCATGTCTACAATTGTTGGTGTTCGTCTTCTTGATTGATGCCACACATCTTGAAGTTAAGAATTCTTAACAATTTACATAAGCTATACTAACACAACACTAAAATTAACACTTAAAATTACTGTACAGTTCATTAAGCAAAGTTAGTTTTGACTGCCAGCTGCTGAATCCTCACTGGTTGAAGGCATTTGGCTTGCATGTGACACCTCACTTGTTGAAGGCGCTTGGCTTGCCTGTGGCGCCTCACTTGTTGAAGGTATTTGGCTGCCTGTGACGCCTCACTGGTTGAACAACACGTAACTTGTCTTTAATTGCTAGGACAACTTTCTTCCTCATAACACCTCCAGAAAGATTGATGCTGCTACCAGACAGTCTTGGCCAAAAATGTTCAAAGTTACTATGAAAATAAAAAAGTTATTTAAAAAAATATTTCACTAATGGCGCAGCACTGTGTATAACATGAGGGACGGGAGCACATGGGTTGACCAGTGTTGGACGGGTCCACTTGGGGCAGCTATAGCACGTTATGTAGGCCACCAGGAGGAAAAAAACTCGCAATATTTTTTAAGGAAACTTCAGCCTGTGCACATTGCTTTTAGGAAACTTATATATTTATTACATAATTACTAGTACTTATTTCATTTGTTTTTGGCTATGATTAATTGTTCTAAAATTAATGGTAATTCCTGTACCCATGTGGTCCCTCTCGACGCACCCCTCCCACCCTCCCGACACAACCCACCCACCCCACCCCCTCCTCCACCATGCATCTAGAGCCACAGGCAGATGGCATTAATACGGTACGGCCGAATTTTTTTCCGGCTAAACCAGCTTTTATCCGGCTCCCGTGGCCATTTTGGCCGGATATTGAGATAACTTTATCCGTTCACGATTTTGGCCGTATAAGGGTGTTTTCCGGATGTTCGAATCCCGGATAATCGCGTGGTTACAGTATAGTCATACTGGCTTAGCACCTTATCTCGATAATTACTTTTTTCCCACTTGATTGGTTAACTATTTTTGAGTCATGATCACCTCAAAATAGCACCATTTGCAAAGTTAGGGATAAAAAATTGATGACAGTAGAATGGTGTAATGAACGAATTTAGGGGTATATGGTACTCAATCCACACTAAATGGGTAATGTTGCATATGCGAAAGCCATGAAGTATCCAAATTTCATACACTGTATAAAAATTATATAAAAAAAATTGTAGTATTCCTTGGACAGTTTATTATGATGGAAATGTAAATTTTATGTATTTAACTAGTTCTAAATATTATTTCTTTTTCTAGGGTGCCCCACTGCCTAACTGGTCATATGGGCAGGCCAGAGCTTCATTTGCTCAAGCCGGAACATCATATGGGCAGGTCAAAACATCAGATGGTCAGGTCAAAACATCAGATGGTCAGGCCAAAACATCAGATGGTCAGGTCAAAACATCAGATGGTCAGGCCAAAACATTGTATAGTCTGGCCAAAGCATCAGATGGTCAGGCCAAAACATCAGATGGTCAGGCCAAAACATTGTATAGTCTGGCCAAAGCATCAGATGGTCAGGCCAAAACATTAGATGGTCAGACCAAAACATCAGATGGTCAGGTCAAAACATCTGATGGTCAGACCAAAACATCAGATGGTCAGACCAAAACATCAGATGGTCAGGCCGGAACATCAGATGGTCAGGCCAAATCATCAAATGCTCAGGCCAAGACTTCATTTGGTCAGATGAGGATGTTAAATGCCCAACCAAGAATACCAGATAGTCAGACAAGGATGTTAAATGCCCAACCAAGAATACCAGATAGTCAGACAAGGATGTTAAATGCCCAACCAAGAACACCAGATAGTCAGACAAGGATGTTAAATGCCCAACCAAAAACACCAGATGGTCAGGCCAAACTTTCATTTGACTTGACCAGGACCCAGATTAGAACATCAGATGACAACACCAGGACATCATATGGTCAGGCCAGGCCAAAACGTCGTGTTCTCAGATCAGAACATCAGATGGTAAAGATAGAATAGCAGAGAGCCTGACCAGAACATCATATGTTCCAATCAAAGTATCGTGCATCCTGACTAGAATATCACATGGCCTGACTGGAACATCATGTGGCCTGGCCAGAATATCAGAAATATGTAAGGATCAATGGTTTATCCCAATACAGAAATATTACTAATTTGGTGGACATGTGACATGTACTGTACAGTAAATAAATTCATAATACAGTACCCTATTCATTGTGTTTTAGATGCCTTTGAAGTTTCTCTGCATATATCTTTATTGCTCTGCTTCTGCATGTGTACACATACATTTACAACAATATATGTGTGTATGTGTAAGCACATTGTACCTATAGCCAGAATCATACTGTACTACTGGACCTAGTCTGCAAGGCCCAATTTACCTAACAGGCAGTGATTTTTGTTATTTTCAAATATTTCATTTAAAATTGGTTTATTCCAATTTATATTATAAATGTATTATGAACGTGAATTACTGACTTAGTAATGATAAGTTAGGTTGGATTTGATCAAATTTCCCCATCGCTTTCCAGCCCATTGTCGTTGTGAGGGGGGCTTGGTGGGCGGCTGCTGGAGTATGATGCTCCATGGGACAGCCTGTTCTCTGGTCTATTTGAAGCCTTATGCTCCTGCTGCTGTTTTTACCAATCTTGCTGGATCCTTATTTACATCTTTCTCATTTAATTATTCCTCTCTACCTCTTCTCCTTTCTGATTGTTCCCTTCCTGACGACTTGGTGCTGTTCTTGAATGTTCTTTCTGTTGTCTTCTGTTTTGATGCTGTTTGATTGAGAAGATACTCTCTCTCACCCGTAGAATTGTGGTACCTTATGTGGTCGAGCGAGGGGGGAAACTTTTATGTCAAACTCTGCCTTCATTGCTGAGCCCAATCTCGATGGACTGACGATTCTTAACACTTTCGCGTTCTGAGCATGCATGCACCAGATTACCCCAAGGTGGCTCGGGTGTTTCCCACGAGAGCGCGGCAACACTGACATGCGTATACTCTCTTTAGTTTTATCACCTCAAGTTTCGTTGTACGTCGTTCATTTTGGTATCAAAATGTTTGCAATACAATTCCCAACAGGGATATATGCATATAAGGTCCAAAAGCCCGGCACGCCCCACCTGCAGCAGTCAAAAGTCGGCCAAGTGTTACCTATGAGTGGCACACCCGTTCACAAATGTATTTACTCTTTTTCAAGTTTTTATCTCAATTTTCATTGTAAGTCGTTCATTTTGGTATCAAAATGTTTGCAATAGTATTCCCTTCAGGAATATATGCATATAAGGTCCAAAAGCCCGATGTGCCACCCACACCAAACCCAGAAATTGGCTGAGCGCGCAAGAGCAATAAAATGTGTATATAGTGATACCTTAGCTTACGATTGTCCGGACTTGCGATATTTTCGAGTTACAATGTAAATTTGGTCAGAAAATGCGATTCGACTTACAATAATGTTGTCAACTAACGATATTTGATACGCGTTCGGGTCAACCGAGCGCATGGTTTCTGGTCGCAAGGGCCAACCTACCTCAGTTTACCATAGCCGCCCGCTTAGTGATGAACACACTTGTAAGAAATTCCATTATTTTGGTGATTTTTTGTTTTTTGAACATAAAATTATTATATATCACGCCATGGGTCCCAAGTCAGTGGTAAGGTTCAACATATGGAAACACATGTGAGGATGACCCTAGAGGCAGTGTAATGATCTGGTGCTCAGTTCATGGCTCTCCCCTTTCCCCCCTCTCCCCTTGCCGTCATTCGTCTCTTCCCTCCCATTTGTCACAGTCCACCTTCTCTGGTCATATCCCTGAGTCAAAAGGTTCGCTCTTGGCCCTCTCCGTTTCCCCCTCTAACCCCACTCGATTCCCTCTCCTGCCTTCGCCACTAACCGTTTGACAGTTTTAAGAACAGTGACGAATTACTGTAATTCTCAAGTTTCAAGTGAGGGAGCTGGGAGGCATATACGGTTGTGATTTCCTGTGTAGTGTGGGATCGGTTCATGAGTCTACGGGAGTAAAACATAACGTTCAGGACAGGCCTATGTCACCAAAAGGCGGGGCTAAGTCAGAGGTTTTGGCTGGCCTAAGAGTGTGGGATATTTGGGGCTTGAATCTGATTATTTAAATATTAATGTAGTAAATTAAATTACGAAGGACCACCCGCTTTTATAGTAAAGAGGGAAACTGAGAATTTCTGATCATTAGATAATTCCTAGATGAAACCAGTAACTATGGATAAAAAACTAGAAAATATGATCATAGAAATAATTAATGGGCTGTATTATTAAATGAATCAAACCCTCAAGCACCTACATTGGGGGGTTATTACTGGAGGTAAGTACGTCCAGGAATTAGTGTGGTTCGTTCACTAATTCAATTAATAATAATCTAATCCTATAAAATTATATTGAAACTGATATCATTACCATAAATGGGAACATAGATTATGAGTATAGTAATGAGAATTACAGTAAACCACATATTAATCCTGAGGAATTCTGCACATAAGAAATTGCAATAGAATCATGAAAGAAAATAAAATCTTAGCTTAATGACGATTCCTTTAGACAAGCCATGGAAGTTCCTCTTATTCTCTGGACTCGGTCGGCTGACGGATTAACATGGGAGAAGGCGGCATGGAGAATTCTTCTCTCGTGCTGCAAGACAAATATTTACAGTAGCAACTAATTTAATTACTGAATCTATATATTCAAGAAATTGAGAGTTACAGGTGACAAAATTTAATCACCTGTTATTAGATGTTATCGTGCGTCATAACGGTCAATCACCCAGCTACTACAAAAAAACTCTTTACCAGATGCATCAAAATAAAGGGAATATACTTAGCTGTAGGGCACTGTATAAGTTTTAAGATTGCCGTGCTTCGCGTCCCCAGGCTCCGGCTAAGCCTATCCTGGATAGTGGTGCGCTTCGCTAGCTGGTCACGTGTTGTCAAGAACCAGGTTAAAAGGTTCCTTATTTGACACCAGCACTAGCTGAAGATATTATCTGCAAGGTTATTCACGCCTCACAGTGGCGACTTTCATCTGAGGATGGATAACGTTTGCCCTAGTGGCTGGGCAATGGCGTCTCCTTGTGAGTACGGTATGCGCAGGTCTGCCTCTGAGCGGCTCTCCACGTGTACTGAGTTGGTCCTCCTCAACCCACGCCGCGTCGCGCGTTCATAAAACAAATTATGTCACGAACATTAATATTTCTCGCATTTACGCTTGAAACGTTGAAGACTGGACGGGTTTATTATTTAGAGGAGGAAATTATTATTATTTACCAATTTAAGAATAGTAAATATATAAGGGAGAGGAATTAATGTCTCCCCATGGCATTCACTGGTGACGTTAGCTTTATTATGAGATAAACGCTATGACTCTAACGCTCTATTCGGCTTTTAGTTGGAGGTCAATTCATCTGCAATTAGTTATCATACAGGATGCCTTAGTTATAGAGAATCGAATTTAATTCTCACATACATTGGATATAATGTGTTTACTGTAAGGAAATCTGACGCAATACTGGCGTCAGGTGGCGTGAGAATTCTAGCCTACTGCACAGATGGAATTATTAGTACTGTACATGAGAATTCTACGTGTTGTTAATTTTACTTACTACAATAATTAGTATAGTTAGTAATAAGTAATGAGAATTCAACAGGGTTGTATTCGGTGTTGGAAATATCCAACAAAGAGTCACTGTAGTCATTGGTTGACGCTGTAGTCATTGGTTGACGCTTTGATAGGCAGAGTTAATTGGGCCTAGGAACTAGGTGGGTGGAGCCTGTTCCACTGGTAAGAGTTTTAGAAAATATTAGTCAGTGTGTCTTGGGGCTTAGTAGGGTACAGGTCTCCTTGACCTGTGGGAGGCAAGTAAGTAAGTAATTATCAAAAGAAGGCACCAAACCAGGAAGGCTATGTAGCACCATCAAATACGCAAAATAATCGGAGGGCGCTAAATATCACCAAGGATGCCAATACGAGAACAAAAACGCATAAGGCGAACGATGTCAAAAGTATCCGAGTCACCAAGAATTCTATCGAGGGACAGGTGACCGCGAGGGGCGGTCGGAAAGCAAGACACACGCTCGTCCTGGAAGTCAGGACATTCAAGAAGGACATGCACGACCGTAAGAGGGACAATGCAACTAGGACAATAAGGAGCAGGGCGGCGCTCCATCAAGTGACCATGGGTTAAGCGAGTATGGCCAATACGCAACCTCGCCAGAGCTGTTTCCCACCGCCGGTTACAGTGGGAGGAGGACGGCCACGAGGAAACACAATATTTAAGAGTACGTAGCTTGTTACCAGTAACAGACAACCAAGAAGCCTGCCAACGGGTAAGGACTGAGGAATGGATAACCGGGTAAAAGTCTGAATACGGAATGCCTTTACGAGAGATGGGACAAGAGGGGACAGCTTCCTTGGCGGCAGCATCCGCACGCTCATTTAAAGACACACCAATATGGCTGGGAACCCAACAAAACTCAACCGACTTAAATTTACTGTGAACAAGAAACAGCCAATGCTGGATCTCGACAACTACTGGATGAACCGGATTAAAGGACCCGAGAGCCATGAGGGCACTACGAGAGTCAACAAACACTACAAAGGAAGACTGACAACGAGAAAGCAGGAGACGAAGAGCATAGAGAATAGCATAAAGTTCCGCTCTAAAGATGCTAGTCTCCGGAAGCAAGCGACACATATAAGTGCGATCAGGAAAAACAACAGAGTAGCCAACACCGTCCGCTGACTGAGACCCATCGGTGAAGACAGAAACGGAGCGGGAGTGAGAAGAAAAGTGCTCGAGGAAAAGGCGTTTTAGAACAGTAGGAGGGGTAAAAGCTTTAGTGATACGGGTCAAGGATGTACAAAACTGCGGAAGAGGGACCCTCCACGGGGGCAAAGAAGGAACAACACGAGGAGAAGCATCAGAAATACGAACGGAAAGAGAATCCTGTAGGCGAAATAACCGGACAGAAAGAGAGAGGTGGTGAAGAGGAACAGGAACCGCAGGAGGGGTAAAAGTTAAAGCACGACAGAGGCGAGAGGAAGGATGTTGCAAGGACCGTGCAAGATAGCGAAGACAGTAGCGATCACGGTGGTCCTGGAGAGACAGGAAGCCAGTGTCAACATACAAGCTAAGGATGGGAGTCGAACGAAAGGCACCAGAACTGAGGCGCAACCCAGTAT